GCTTTCAAGTCAGGATTAATATCCTTGTGGGTTGCTTTGACATGTCCTCTGATAAAGATAAGCATAGAGGTGTCTGCTCCCTTGCTCAATCCTTCCTTTGAAGTGTTCAAAAGAAGGAAATAAGTTGCAGGTGTATATTGTCTGTTTTCACACTGATCTCTGCCTGTGAAGTCAGCTTCCCAAGATCTCTGAAACGTAGAAGAGTCCAGCAAATGAATTTCATATTTCATACATGCCAAACTGTCAGTCTCTTCACAATGTGATGTTCAGGACCACGGGAATGAGCACACACACACCTCTTTCTGAACAAAGAAAAAAATTTAAGAATTATAAATAACAACAACAAAACCCCAGATGAAATAAAAGACATTCCTGTGGTATGTGGTATTTCTGTGTAGGTTAAGAACTTTGGGATTCTGCCTCCCTCCCAGAACACTGTATATCCCTTTCAAAACCAACCAGCTTGACAGCAAACCATCAGCAGAGATCGGAGCAGAGGAAGGAAGGAAAGAAGAAGGGGCTGTAGGCTGAAATGTGAATTGCATCACATCGAATGTGAACACTGAACTCCTAAATCAATCTGCAACCCCTGTGAAATCAACCGTAATACAGGTGGTGAATCAAACCAATGCCAGTGTTGTTGCATCCTATATTCCAAAGCAATGGGCATGCAGGGATTTTCAAAACTCATCACTGTCATCCTTTGAGCAAATGAAAGAAGACTGGAATTAAGGACGTTCATGGACTCCTAGATTCAGTTCAAATCCTGATACAAGCTTGGGGAATGAGGGAAAGAGGGGCATTACTGCACAGACTGATGCAAAGCTACTTCTCTTTCACTCAGGTCCTAAACATGAGTTAAGGTTCGGAAATCCAAAATTATAGGAGGTTACAATGGAAAAAATGAAAATGAAAAACAAAACAAAACACAAGCTATAACTAGGATTCAGCAGCTATTTGTTTTGCCAGGAATGCAGAAGTGTGATATACCTTCTTCAGACAACAAAATGCCTTTGGTTAGTTTTGGTCTTCTATCTGGAGGAGATCAGTCAAGCAATGCTTCTAGCCCACAGGTGTCCAAAATTTGGAAGTGCACGATGTATGATTATTCAGTCAATGTTGGGCTGTTGGCATTCCATCTTGAGGCTCCATCACAGCACAGAAATGGCATTTTATTGCAAAGCCCGTAAGTTCTGGCTCTCAGTGGGGGAAGCCTTTAGGTAGCTCTGTCCCTAAAGGCAGCCCTGCTTCCTGGAACCCATTTACTAAAGCCTCATCTGTGCTGCTTGCCTCTTCCCTCTGGTGGGGTGGAGGGGGAGGAAAGGGCTCCAGCCGTCACTGATGTCAAGAGTTGTTAAGGAAGATGGCTGGCTGATGTAGCTGGCTTCATTCAGAATATGTGTGGGTGGATGGATGCTTCCCATCGAGTATTGATATGTGCTGACAGACTGAGCAGTGTTGCACAAACAGGCTTAGCAATTAAAATATGCTTATTTGATGTGGTTCTTCTTCCAGCCTTGGGGGGGGCAATATACATATTACAAACAGTTTTATGTTTCTTACCTCTTACAGTTTGATGTTGTTTCTTTAATGAAAAACTACCTGAGAAGCTGTAACTGAGAACAAAAGAGCAGCAGTTGTGGAGCTGCTGGCAGTGGATGGTTGTTTAAACCTCTCCTTGTGGTCGTGGTTCTGCTCAAAATCCTTCCTTCAGGCTCCTTTCCTATCCAAGGTGGATGGGGACTGCATTTAGGGGTGATGCAAGGCCTTAATATTTTTATGTCTTCTCAGGAAGAAAGTCAGCTCGCAGGGCGAAGAATCTTGAGTGGACAAATGGGAGGAAGAACAAGAGCTGAGAAGTCTCCTTTTCACCCCAGTCCTTAGCTAGTATGTTCTGGACTGCAGCTCCCAAACTACTTTTACAATTTTAAAAAACTGGAGAAAACGCAATTACATGGAATGTGTGATGAGCTCCTCAGCAGCGGTCTGAGGACTCCTGTTTCAGAAGTGTTGTGAATCTCTTCTGGTTTATAATTGCACTTTATCAGAGCTCTGTAAAGTGCAGAACCTTATCCTCAAAATAGGTTCAGCACCTTAGGTAACTAAAACCTGGAATGGATTCACAGTACTTCTGAAATGGGATTCACCACCCTCTTCCTCTGCACAGGCAGGTCTCCCCCCTCTTTTAAAGCTCTGTTAAATTTTATAAAAAGACTGGGATCATCCTTGCCACATGTAACTGATTCTTTCTTGAAGTTCTTTCCCCTGCCTCCACCATCCAGATGACATTGCATCTTACACTGATATGAACAGAAACTAACAGGGATATTGGGCAAATTTCCAGGACCTTTTTGTTCCTCCCCAGCTATTAGAAATGATCCAGCACCTGCACCCTAGAGTGTGAAGGATGATTTTGTGCCATAGTGCTCCCCCAATGTAGAAAATAAATAAAGGTAAACATATAAGGTGTCAGAGACAATGGCAGTGTTTCTTCCAGGTTAATGGGGAAGAATGATTTAAAAATCAGAGGAAGAGAGCAGAGGTGCTGGATGGAAGAGTGTGCAGCAGAGAAGAAAACCTCTGGGAAAAGGAGGTTCTAGTGAACATCACCACTGACTATGCTCATTAAGCCCCAAATCCTGGTAATTAGCATTGTGCAGGAAAATACCAGTAATTAGAGGAACAAATGCCACATTTGAAGGACCCCCTGAGCATTACTCTTGACTCACCATTATTTCTTGGATTCAAAATATTTGTGGAGTTCCAGTGAAGCTGGGAAAGCTTTCAGATAATGTAATGTAAAACACTTTCACACTATCCGTTTTCCCTAAATACAAAACAGGCTTGTCTTTTGCCTGTGATATGCCTGAAATCATGTGGGCAAATTGGAGAGAAGCAGAGCTGAGAATAAACTGCTATTCACCCATAGCAGGTTTCCCCCTCTAATAAAAGTAGAATAACTGCATCACACTACAATTGTAGCTTAAGTAAGGAGAACATCACTTCTTTTGCAATGTAACTGTGTCTGAAATCCTTACTGCACTAGAGTAAGTCCATTAAACCTATGGGGATCTGGAAAATCCAATACTCCATAAGTTCCATGTACAGTGGTGCCCCGTTTAACGACAAATCCGCATAGCGATGAAGATTTTGCGATCGCTTTTGTGATCGCATTGCGATATTCCCTATGGGAAAAAAATCATTTTCTGATGATGGCTTCCCCCCCCCCATCATCACAAATGGCCCATTTTCACACAGCTGATCGGCGGGGCCGCACGATCTTCGCAAAGCCCCCCCCCGATCAGCTGTGTGAAAATGGGGCATTTGCGATGAGTGGGGGAAGCGATCATTGCAAACACCCCGTTTTTGCACAGCTGATCAGTGGGGCATGCGATCTTCTTGCAAGGAATCCGTCCCAGAAAAGAGCCAGGAGCCATCTTCTCCGCTCCAGCTCCTTCCCCTCCCCGCCTCACAGCTGATCGGCGCTGGTCTTAGAAGCTTCCCCAGGCTTGCCCAGCAGGTAAACAGGCAGTGGAAATGCACTGGGGAAGCCTCTGAAACCTGAGGTGGGTATGGGT